GGGGGGAATGCAGATGGCAGCTTCAAATCCACGGACAGCAGGTCATTATGACCTAGCTACTGATCAAAATCTACCACTTTTGGAACTTACACAATAGTGACTGGTTAACATTCTGACAATAAAAAGTATTGAAAGGGTGTTAACTAACTCGTCAGATGGATGGGCAGCCTCTCCCCAAGCTTTTCGGGGCTCACGAGCCCCAAGAGAAGTGACCTTGTTGTCATAAGGCCTAGGTGCTCTGACTGGAGTAATTAATTTTGCCTTCTCTTCTGCTGTAGCTGGAACCGTCTGGCGTACATGATGTTTGCTAGGAGATCTGAAATAATTAGCAAGATATAAATAAATATAATATAAAAATAATAATTAGCATAATATAAATAAAATTGTATATGCGTGCACATGCACACACAAAGAGGAAACATATGTACTGGAATACATACCTAATAAAGGTGCGTTCGAGTCTGGCACGTTGACGACCTTCTTCAACTGTTTGGTATTCAGTCCTTCCAGAGTAAGTAAATTTTGAACCTAAGGAAAGAGGAAAACGCCGAGCTCGAACATGTGGAGAATGCAGGCGGAAGAAAGTATGATGTTCCACACAAGATTTCCATAAATTCTTGGAGGATCGGTATGTGGTCATATTGAAACCCAATAATGTATCGTAACTCTCTGACTGCAAACAAAGAAATAAAGTCAGAAAAATATTGAAATTTTATCTTTTAATTCACAGATTATTTCCAAACTTACTGGCTCTCTTCGAAGCTGAATGAAAAACTGCTTGCGTTTAAAAGATATTTTAACTATTTTTGACCAAGAAAATGTATTTATCCGGACTGCATTTTGAAATACAACTAATCCAACAGATGTCACACCCAACTGGATTTCTCTGTTGGTGGAATCCTGCTGACAGTGCAAAGTCCAAAAAATATTAAATTAAACAATACTAAACAATTTCTCCAATAAAAAAAAAGTTTTCATGCCTCAGATAAAATTTGTTCTCATTTTATGCAGTGAGCAGAAGCAAACAACAAAAACCAGTAATTCACAAATGAATAATAAAACAAAAATAGATTATCTACATAGTCCATTCTTATTTTAATATTCTATGTAGGTCCTGCAAAAAATATCAAAACCACTTAAATTTGGAAGTTATGATCCACATTCACAGGACTAGTTTCATGTCTGAATGTTAATACTTCAAAGCTTTATCTCTTAGAGCAATGAATGATACAGAACATTCAGGTACTGAATAATCATTGCTATGCAACTACTCAACTCAGCATATCAACCCTTTTACCTTTCATCATGGGCAGTGAATTACATGTTAGCAGAAAAGTCTACAGACAATTCATTATTATACAGAACAGGTGAATGTCGAGTAGCTATTTATTCAAGTACATTTTGAATATTACACGTTTTACAGTTCATGAAAGAAAAGCAACCCCGTTATTATGCATTCACCCATGTACAGGAATGCAACTATTTGATATTTTGTGAAAGCATTTCTGATATTTAGAATGAGTGAACCAAAAAATTACAGATGTGATGGTAATGGTGTAATTTTTACTAACACTTACCCTTGCTCTATGAAGATCAACACCATACATATCCATTCTCTTGGCGTGATCTAAGAAGTTGAATTCCGCATCAGCTGGAGTTTGACCTCTAAAAATATAAATTTTCACCGTGTTATTCTCAGTTCAAGGAAAATAATTTGAAAATTGTAGAGCAGATTTTTATTTTTTAGCCTCTAAAAAATGGAAAGTAACTTATGTTCATTGTTCGATATTAATGCCATACAAATAATACGTAAACTAGTGATGTTTCTACTTCTACATAAACAAGCAAAAGTGTTTTCAATCAGCAAAAAAAAAATTTCTGCACTTCAGAGTTGAACTCAGATTCTCAAGTGAACCCATACCATTATGTTTACAGAAGTACCATAAGGATAAAACTGAACAGAATGATGAAAAGGAAGATTCAGGTTTAATAAAGCAAATGATAATAATATTATTTCTCAAATGGTAGCGGCGTACATGAACTTACAGACTTCTTTCCCAAATTTAATGGCTCTGGAGCAACTTATTATTAAGCAAGCAGCAGTTTCACTCGACATGCCTAAATTTTACTTCATACATTATGGCTTGTAATAATATAATATACATAAATCAATTGTTAAAATTGAAATGACAATTAATGTTTGGCAACTAATGATTATTTCTCAAACAATTCTATGAAGAAACAATTATTTTTCTCAAACTACCATATCAGGGTTCAGTGTCAAAAACGTTCCACTTACTTGTGTAGCTTGTGTAATTCTGCAATCTTCTTTTCCATTTCATCAGTTAATCCAGGAATAAGCTGAAGAGATTGTAAATACCCTGGTGCATGCTCCTCAGGATGATAATCTCCTAATTCAGCTGATGGAAAGAAAATGTGTTTTAACATTTTTTCTTTCAGATAAAATAAATATGAAAAAAATTCACATTTGTATTACATTGAACAGTGTAACTGGCAAGTAAGCATGCTGTGCTTGGTGGCAACTGTAAGCGTCCTTGCATTATATCATGTCGTATTTGTAAATAAAAATGGTATCGAGTGTATTCTTCCTGTAGTTTGCTGGGGTCTGACACATAAAATTTTACTCTGAAGTATAACTGGCCATCTGGAAAGAAGCAAACAAACAAAATAACAGTGTGATCAATTCTAAAAGTAATGCTATTTTCCTAGAAAATTTAATTACTTACTACGAAGTTGCTTCTTAACAGGCTTTGAAGGATCCAACCATCGCTAAAATATTAAATACAAGCTCAAATCTAATTTGAAGAAGTTGTGTAATATTCACTAAAAGTTAATGCATTGCAACTTACTATGGAACATACCATTTGATCAGCATTTGCAGCGGAAGGCACAGCTCCATTATCAGAAAATTGTAGACCAAAGTAATCTTTTTCTATTAACTCCAGATGCTGAAAGACTTGCTCCAATAAAATATGACCTTTTGCTCGTTTCTAGAAATCACAAAACCAGTCATTTAACTTAAGACCTAGAATTTTAGAACAATTCATGAAGTTACTGAATATACTAGAATTTAATTTGGAGCCACAGTGTGAATAACATGTTCTGAAGTATCTAATATTTCACATAGAAATCTTAAACTACCACCAACATATTAGAAGCTAGAAATCTTTGGAAAAACTTTGTTGCTTTACTTCCAGATTATCTTTTCAAATAGTCTTTCCGCTTTGGACACATTAAACACACAAGTTTGCTTTTAAAGGGAAGAAAAAATTAAAATACATAAAATGCATTGCATGTCCATTTTCCCCCCCTTAATGTACAATTTGAAATATTTACCTTTTAATTCATTATTATTTTAATCCTTCCACGTTAATTCTTTTTTAAACTGGATTACATAATGGGAAATTTTTGTATATTGCATTGTATTCATACTGTGTGTGTGTGAAAGGTATATACTTATGAGAGAGATTGGCGACAGACTGTCAAACTTATTCCACAACTTAGCATGATGTTAGTTTTTGGCACAGATAATTGTACTTTCTTTTTTTGAGCTTATTCTCTAATCTAACATGTTACTAGTACTTATTGAAGATTGGTTTACAAATGTTTAATGTACAATGTATAGATTGATTAGTAATTCTGGGCATGTCATCTCCTAAGGACATTAATCCCATAAGCATAAGGCATGTTTTAATATGGGAGATTGTGGTGACCTTCCATTGATAGGCCAGATCCTGCAGCGACTTACCCTATTGGCATGGTGAGGTTTTCCCCAACTAAGTATGTATTTCTCTTCCAGACAGTGGGTGAATTCAACCTAGCTATCTACCTAGAGTTGAAAATCCCCCCCACCATTTGGATTCAAACTCTAGGTCCTCCTGGTCAGAGGCACTGCAATGACATTAGTTGATGCCCTGAGCCACCTAAGTTAGTTTTAATGTGCAAGAAACCACTGTCAAATAACTGCACAAAACCTGCTTTTAAGAAATCATTCCAACAATATGAATTTTTAACCCAGAGGGCAAATGTCATAAATTATACAATTAAAAATAAGTTTGGTAACTGACATTATTAAGGAAAGAAAATTTTTGAATGGACAATCACTATCTTTTACCATACATTTAGGGAAGTAAAAAAAAAGTTATTAATACCTCAACTTGAAAAGTGTGTTGGGTGTCATCCAAAAAAACAACAGTCACACTTAAAGTCTTTAAACGACGGTCACGGGCCAATTCAGAAGCCCGAACATTGTAAGTTCCACTAGAGCCACTGAATGCACGTCTTGAAACACTGTCAATCATCCTTCTGCCTTCAGCCGGCTCCCCGTGGGTAAATTCGTACCTGCCACAAATTAATTAAAAAAATATTTACTACTTAAAAAAAAAGCAAGTTCAATTTTTGCTGAACAAGAAGAAAGTGCAGTATCACATTTTAATTATGTAATAAAACTATCTTTCAAGAAACCAATACAAAACGTCCATCATAAAACCTAGTGTGATCAGTGCAAATAATGAACAATTTGTACACTTCATAAAGAAACATTATTGAACTTTTGTGACAGCAATAGATTGAAGTAAAGATACATTCATTTAAATTAATTTTGCAATCTTTAAAAGGATGATTTGACATTTAAAAACAATATACATTCAATAATTTATGCACTTACTTTCATGATAATCTAGGAAAGCAGGATAAGTCAGTTTACAAGGCACTCTAAAACAGAAATCCAAATAAGATTAATTTAAAAAAAGGATTATAAAAATGTTAACTTCAAGATGGCAAAATAGTCTTAAACATAACATCACAGGACACCTATTTAAAAGTTATCCTTGTTAACCACAACACTCACCTTCAAATGTCCAAAATTAAACTTCTAGCTAACTTAAGAAATTCCGATGAAATTGCGTTTCAGGAACGCCTATTATCAGCTGTTATTGTCAAGTATGACACGAACCTTCATCATAGAAGGCAGTTTCAGGGTTAATACTGGCAGTGACAAATTATTTCGATGAAAATTATATTATATGACGTACATCAATAGTTCTCTGGAACATTTAAGTTTGCAATCGAATATATCCTTCAACGCACCTTTGCTCATTATTTTTCCACTGTGCTGCATCACGACATTTCTTAATAGATATCGGAATTCATAATGTGTAGTTATAAATGTTTAAACAAATAACCCGATATTTTTATCACAGACAGGCTTAAGCCATTTGCCTTAGGCCTACAAATGGACGCAGCATACATCCGCTTCGTAACTTTCTTCCATTTTAAACAGCTTCAAAATGCGGAGTTATTTTCTCGGAAGAATGTAATTCAACGAAACAGTAGAAAACGTAGGACGTAAATATCACAGATTAAAACACAGCACGATCGACACCAATGTAGTGTTCCTTTCAAGCCTAAAAGTTCCCATATCTCTTCACCCACATCCCTACCAACCAAAGTAAACCTGCTGGTAGCCTACTGGCTTGCTGGCTGGCATGGCTGGCAGCTTGAAACAGAGTACGCCAGAGTACGCCTCGAAAAGCTACACACAGAGAGTATTTTGCTTCACACTCGCTGTGCCAAAGCGCTCGCAGCGGCATAATTACGAAAAGATCTAAAGAATCAGTGTTGCATAGCAAGCCAATTTTCTTTTATTAGAATTATTATATCGGAAATCTAAACTACACAAAATAAAATGTGAATTATACGAAATCTTCGGGGGGGGGGGGGTATCGTTGTCTAATTATTTTATGTCCATCTGACATGTTTCATGAATTATTAATAAAATCGTGGGGAGACCCACAAAACTTTCCACAAGTACTATTCATACTTTCTTTCATGTTTTATTGTTCAAAAACATTCAAGAGTGTTAATTACTGTATAACCCACCAGCATAGGGGCCTATAACTGTTTTAAACATTTTTGTCAGTGCATATAATTATTTTATTCAAAATATTTTCTTCCTCATAACATCTCTTCTACTAACAGTTACGCTGCAATTGAGAAAGATAAAATTCAGGTTTGAAACGTGGAAATTACATTCCATACTTTCCAAATTCTCATAATTCTTAATTGCTCACTGCTTGCATGTCTTCAGATGAACAGTGGAATAACATGTAAAGGGAATTCTATTCTTTAACATCTATATTAATCAGATAATCTTATGCTTTTGTCCATATATATTTTGACAACTTAATATTATAATTATTTTCTTTTTATATCAATTTTGATTGCATAGGCATTCAAAATCTTATTGTTAGTTGGTTCCATGATTTGGTAAAATTAAGTCCCCTTTTGATTTTCATCCAGCTTACATTAACTAGTTTGAATGAGTGATATTCATTTGGAAAATACTTACTGACTTGCAGAATTTTATGTGTATTTAGAAGTAATAAAACACAGTTACTGTTTACATAGATTTTATTAACATCCCAACAAAAGCATATTAAAAATATTCTTTCTAAACATAACAAGCATAACAGTATAGGAATTTTCAGCCTCCTAATTACAACTGGAATAAAATTATGGTTCATTTTTATAGGCAAATAACTTCTTTTTTCTTAGCATTTAATCTTTTATCATAAAATAATCTCCAATTTTTTTAAGATGTTTTGATATAAGAGAACTTTAGTAATTACAGGATTACAAATACTGGTGTATGTACAAAGCCATATCTTATTGGAATTCATAAGAGTCAATCTTTTAATCAGTAGTTTACCTACTATCAAAATACATATAATCAAAGATTGTACTCAACACTTTACACTTTACCTACATTTCTGGCACTGTAAGATCTCTTCTAGTCACACAACATATTCAAAGAAGTACACCTTGAAACAAATATTAATTTCGGAAACAATATATAATTATAAATAATTATACATTATATTATATAGTACATTAATTTATTACTAATTAATTTAATTCTAATTAATGCTCATTGAAGGAAATTATGTCATTTTTTTTTCTTTTCACAAAGGTGATATAAACAGTTCATGCAATATACATATTTATGCATTCTTCAATTTATAACATCAAAATACATGAGTGAAAACACTTAACAATATTTCTGTTTGGGAAAAAGGAATTTGTTAATGTTAAAATACATATTATGGAAATCATTGATTTTGAATTAAACATTGGTCGTTGCATTCAGTGACCAATGTTATACCACTAAGCATGATTTAAAACATTATGGTTTACTCTGTATAAGTATCTGCTGTGACTGTGCCTCAATTATACCAGATGGTCTCCATGGCTATAAGATAGCATGGCTATAAGATGTAGTATGTAGAGAAGCTGTTCATCCAACTCCAATGTTATTACCTAGTCTTAGCAAAAATTAATACAAATATTGCAAAATGGTCCCTTAGAAACTGGTATCAACAAGTTATACATTATTGTAAATCGTCAATAGTAAGCCCTACCAAAGATATTACTGGTATATCTCATAACATTATTTCAGGTTTTACTCAAGTTTATTACCAAGAGAATCCTGAAAAAGGGCATAGCCTTCATATTCCTTCCATACACACACACATAAAATATTAAAAAAATAATATACAGTTATTTTAAGATCAGTTCTGCAAATATTGGGATCAATATTACACCATCACTTCAATATTTTGTATTTATTAAACCCATTAGTCTTAGTGAATTAATAATGAGTTTTGTAGAGACCTTGAAATGGGTAAATATAAAGTACCACATATATCAGATACACACAAAATTAAAACTTACAACATCCCAATGAAATTTCTACATAAAACTAGAAAGAAAATATTATGTAATATTGGGAGATAGTCTAAAATTAGATGCGCTTTGGTGAGAAAAACAATTTAACACTAGAACACCCACGATTCTTTATCTACCAACTCCACCCAAGGGTATAGTTTCACCCCTTTTTATTTTCAGCTGATTGCTGGGATGATAACTCAATATTTTGTTGGGTTACAGATTTCAATTACTTTCTTAATTTTCTGATTCTTTCTCATTTTTATAAGCATTCATATTGCAAATAAAATATTTAATATTTAAGGATTAAAATATGCAAAACAAAAGAAAGTGCTTATCAGTAAATATGATGTTAATAAAAGTAATTACCCAAACAACCAGCTGAAAGGTCTCATGTGCACTAATTGAAATATTTTCTCAACATAGTATCTAAATGTGTAAAGTCAACTTTGCTATCAGCTGGCACTTTTTACTTGTTATTGGACCGGGATATCTGGCAAGAGACAAAGAATCTCAGTAGAAATAGACCCAGCAGCGTAACGAAATGAGTGCTGGCCCACCTGCAAAACTTTTATCTGGGCCCCCTTTTCAAAAATATATAGTACACACAAGTAGTGTTAGTACCATAAATCAAAATATCCTTTAACAAATGCAAATGTCTATAAATAATAAATATCAGTAGAAAAATCTACCTTTATTATTCAATTTTATGAAATTTAGATAGTTATAAAACTAAAATGAATTGCTTACCTTTCTTGATTTAGAAACAGGGCTACTAAAGCTACCAAAGTGGGGAAAAAATCGTTCTTCTGGAAGATGCTATTTTTAATCTTTTAATGTATCATCTATCGCAAAGTATCAAGTAATTAATATTTCTTATAATCGCAAAACATTCAACCTAAGAGTATGCCCTCTTTAACCTCGTCCTGCCTGTATAGTGAGCCTAAATGTTATGACTAAACACCTGATACATATTTTAAAATCTCACCTATGGTATAAATACCATTTATCTCAGCTTAGAAGAGCTCAAGCTAACATGTCCCTTGAAAGGACCGAATTGACTAAGAAACAGGCATGCAACACAAAAGCATGAGTTACTTTTTCTTGGAACCGTAAATCAGTCACGTGATAAGTAAAACAATAAGAACTCTAGTATCTCTTAGGAAACTGCAATTATTAAAATAGGTAAGAATGTGGTACACCCCAAGGAAAACTAGCTTGTGGGTGTCAAAATGACAACCAGGATGGAGTAGGTGAAATGTTGAATAAAGGTTACGGTTTCATAGTTAAAGAAAATTCATATATCTAAAGAAGCACATGTACAATAAACATCCTGATTGTCTAACAAAACCAAAAATTATATAGCAAAATGATATGCTACAGGTGTCAAAATGACATCTTTGGGCATTCTAGTATTAAACTGCTAACAATTAAAAAGTTAAATTACACTTATAAGCTGAATTTGTTAATTCAGTTAGTTTCAACAAAATTTAATACAACAGTATCCTAATGATTATCCAAAATTTTACATACTACTAATAAAATTTTACAATTATAATACTACTTTCACAACTAAGGTAGAAAAACGTATGCATTATGAACTTGCTTACTCAACAATATCTTACTAAGAGGTAAGTGATGTAATGCAGTGTTCAACAATTCTGGTCTTTGGCACATACAAGTTATAGAAAAGTAGCAGAGCAGATAAAAGTTATTGCAATAATTTATCTCCCAATTTTATTTTCATGTGATCTAGAGATTTCAGTGCTTAAAAATTACATTGAGGTATTACAATTCTAATAGAAAGTACCACCAATTTAACAAAATTAAGAATTTGATATAACAGCACAAAATATTTCTACAAATGCACTATCAAAAAACCAACAACCAATTAAGCAAAAATAAAAACAATTTAAATATATATTATGTATTCTATTTCACAGCCAATTTTAATATGCATTCTGATATACATCAGCTACTTTCATATCACAGTGAAATTATTCATTCATGACTATTTGAGCTTTTATTCTGGTATTCTGATGAACACAGCAATATAATATGAAGCCACATTGTTTGAAACTAACAACACATTCAATAAAAATAATATGGAAAACACAACTTATAATTCCACTTTTTAACTATCTTGTCCAAAAAAATTAAATTTTCATGTAATAACAAATTATACAGTTGTAAGTACAATCACACTGAAAAGGCATACATTTGAAGAGTTCAAAGTTATTGCATTATAAATAATTACATAGTTATTCATTGTGTAAAACCATAACTAGTACAATAAATCCATTAATTAAGATTAATAAATAAAATGTATTTTCCATCTAGCTGCGGAAGTAACATGTTCAGTGTTGGAAGTAATTTTTCATTTTCAATTTTTGTAGAAGTAGCTGTTAATAATTTCCCCCCTTCAGATTAAACTAGTAAAAAGATTGGGATGAGTTTCATTATATAGTTACAATTCTAAATATTATTTTCTTTGAGATGCATAAAAACTCTTGAGAATAGAAAGATATTATTTTCTGGCCTTACAGGTAATTTATTTCAAGATGGAGAAAGCTACTTTATTTTGTATATTTGAATATATATTCAAATTTTTAACTTTCGAGTACTATTTGTGTTGTGGAATAGTGCATACTACAACCATCCAGCCACTTATCCTTGAAATATATTACAATTATTTTTCTATTTTTTTCATTTTCTTGAATGTCATTTCTTTAAAGAATGCACTTCTTTTTATTCAGGGAAAATCAATACACAAGATTTACAACAATTGCATCCCAAAAAAGTAGGAAGAGAAAGCCAGATGTCTAGACTTTACACTAGGAGTTCTTTACTTCCACAAAACCTTGATGGAAACTAAAATCTCATATGAACACATCACACGGAACTAGAACTTAAAAATTTGTCCGTCAATCCATAATCCACTTTTGTTTTATTTTCAAGAAATGCATACGTTGTTGATAAAATAACAAAAAAGGTAACAATTAAGAAGAAACTAGGAATGTTTCTGCCTACTACAAGAAAAAAAGTGATAAAACATATAAAAGCATGGTTTTGTACAACCAAACCCCAAATAAATATAATATATATTGATATTTAAAATAATAAATCTGGCAGTTATCACAATAAAATATATTACTACAGTTACCACTTCTAATACTATGTAAACAATCTTCCTGTTCAACATTAAACAAATAAGCCTTGAATAAAACAAAAATGTTACAAAAACCAACATCATTGGTGATTCATGTCAGTTGAAGTGATACAACAAATTTATTTGCTATTTATAAATATATTTCATTAATGCTCATGATTAATTTGTATAATTTCTCTGAGTTATAATTACTTCATAATAATTTTCTATCTCATCAACAGCAGGACATAAAAGGGAGAAAAATCAGCATATGTTCTGGAGAACCTAGATGCCTCAATGGTTAAGCACAGTGAAAAACCTTAGATTGTCAATGAAGGTTAACAAGGAGGGTAGGGGTGAATAGCTCCCTGATGTTCTTAAATGTTTCGACATGAAGACCTGAACATAAGGATCATCAGAAGAAAAACTAAGTGTATAACCTGCAGACTTTCAAGAACATGCTTACTCTGTGGGCTGATAAAAAGATCCCAAAAAGGGCAAAGGGAAGAAAACTTCATGAGAAAGTTGCGAATTGGGTGAATCAGAATTTCATAAACAGACATTTATTAAATTTTATGAACATTCTAGTATCAATTTGCATATAAATAGATGAGATACAAACTTCAATACTTTTGCAAGTGTTGTTCACCAAAAAAGGTTTAGAAAATTAACATTTTAAGCCCTCCATGACGGAATTACTATCACCTGCCTCGTTTAATTGTATGGGAGTTTTTGGCTGCAATTAAATATATGCAAAGTCTCACAAATGCCTAGGTTTGTTAACAGGACAAACAAGGCCCCAAGCCACATTTTTTTATGAATGACTTCTGCACCATTTTATGAAACATCAACTTTCAAAGACAAACCACCACTGCTCAAAATGATGTAGAAAACATTTTCTCAAAAATCTTTTCATAAACCTGAATACAAGTGAGTTACAGAATATTTTTTTCACATCTAGGAATGTGATTTTGTAAGCAATACTCACAAAATCGAAAATTTAAAGATAAGAACAAAAGTTTCTAAAACTAAGAATTTTTTTTGGAAATAAACTCAAACCAAAAAATTAAAGTTTTCCTCTAACTTTAAGAAAATTCTGTAGATTGTCCCAAGCCTTTTGGACTTGCTTTTGTGTGTACTCGGGTTCCCAAAGAGTGCATAAAACAACATGTGCTTGGCTCACCATCTCCAAGTTGCTAGGCTGTGCTGAAATGCGCGATTCTGCATCTTCCTTTGATAGATTATTGCGAGCCTGTATTCTCCTTACAGCCTACGAGACAGACCAAAATGAGCAATTACAATGACAATTATAGCACATTCAAGAATACGGGCATGGAAATAGTACTGATATTAATACTCATTTTAAACTGAATTTTTAAACTAAAATTCACATTCAAGCAAACAATTGGAATTTATGATTTATACAAGAACTTTAAAAAATTTTAACATTTTGTTTCCATTAATTCTTGAATTTATACAGCAAAAATGTTTCATGTTTAAATTTTATTAGCATCACTGTCAGTATTAATGGGAAATACACTTGAGATAACAAATTGGTAAACTAACAATTCACGCCACATTTCTTCTCATTAACTTTTATATAATGATTTCAGATTTGAAAATTAAAAAAGGAATTGTAGAAAAAATATTCTATGATTGCACTGATTCTATATCACATACTGATTCTCTGGTTAAAAAAAAGAAAATATCCAATGAAATAACTAGTGATGTAACACCAGCATGTACTTCAATCTGTTCAAGCAAAAAATTTACAGAAAAAGTTTGGAGCCAATTTTGAAAGAATATTGTTTTAATTTTGCTCAAGATTTCACTCGAAATTATATGACCCCTATTTTTTTTAATGTACAAAACAACATATAATTTTGAGGAGCAGTTTAAATTGAGAAAAAAATCTTCAATAATGTTTATTAACCAAACAATACTTGGGGGGGGGGGCCAAAAACATTTTTTCACAATTCAGAGTTTAATGATAAGAAAACTAGCTCCATTTTAATAAGAATACTTTGCTTTATCATAAAACATAATTTCTAGGGAATTCTTGTAGAGAACCCTCAGAAATTAATATACCCATTTCAATTCCCACGGCTTCTCAGTGTGGTAAGATTGTTTTGGGAATATTCACTCTGAAGAAAATACTGTAAACAGTTTAAGCACCATCCTCACAAGGAATGACAGAAAATGATTTTGAAAAAACACTTTATCAGTTTCAACAACACACAAGATGTGCATTCCCTTTACTACTTGGAAAATGCAATGCAGCATTATTATATTTTCTCTATATGAGATATACAAGAAAGTAAAAATCACAATTAGCAATAACCAGCAACTTGCTAAATGTATGCTTACTTCTTCTGGAGGAATTATGCAAGCCCATACTTCATGGCAGTCATTTTCCCATCCAGCTTGGAGAAGGACTGCAGCATCAAGAACAACAACATCATGGCCTTTCTTGAAGAGTTTGAGAGCTTCTTCTTTAGCAAGACCCAGAATTGCTGGCCATAACAAGCTATTCAATTTAGCAAGCTGTTCCTGAAGCCAAATGGAATAGTGTATATCACTTTGAAGTTCTTCATAACACTATTCCCACAAAATAGCATTTTTTTTGTAATGCATTGTGTAACAGGAGTTTTTTTAAACATGTTTTGTATGCGGCTCAAACTAAATATTTATTCATAATATTTTTAATCCACAAATACCACAATGCATTAAAGATATAAAAGGATATTTTATTACATCACTGAAAGAATGATCCAATTCATCCACCCACTTCTACACTAAAAAATCTTTATGTTTACAACTGCTTGAGTAAATTGACATGAGCATTTGCAAACAATTCGTTAATTCTAGACCTTTTTAGATTACTCGCATAATTTGATTTATGCACGATGATGTGTTAAATATCTTAAATTTTTTTTATCAAATCATTGAAATTTTCACTCAAGAGGAAATGGTTTATCAATTCTCATTTTGATGAAAATGGCATTTAAATCTGCTTCATTCTCAATTTTGTGTTACACATAATTTTTGAGAAATTTGGTCTTGAATATCTTACAAGTATGCCAATTTTTTTAAAAGGTCAAGACAATAATTTTGTCAGAATATTTACAAAAGAGGCAATGAATATGTTTAGAAAAACGCAAATTAAATATTAACTGGTTTTTAAAAGTTAATGGTAATTTTCCCGAATTTATTTTCTTTCAGAAAAAGAAAAGAAAAAAAAAAGGGGGGAAAAAGGAGGGGGGGTATTTGGGATAGTTGGTACAGTTGACATTCTCTAACATCAAACAAGAAAAATATTAGGTAGAAAAGAGAAAAATAATGAAAATATTTTGTCTTTTACCTCCCAATTCTGCATTCAAGATACTTGTTTAATCTGTCCTTAAACTGAAGAACTGATGTTTAAGCATATAAAATGGGACAAACCCATCCATGTCACTATTCATTCTAAGTAACACTTACAGAGCACCTACGTTTAAAGATGTAACTTACTTTGTCATTAAATACAATAGATCCTAGAACTCTGCGATTGACTTCTCCCTGGTCATCTAAAATTTGCCTTCCAAAATGTTCTATAAGAGACAAGTGACAAGGTTGTCCTTTTCTGTACAAAATGTGAGCAAGTGCATCACAGTTCACTACTCCAGCTCCCAAACCTTCCAGTCTTTTTCCAATCGAACTTTTCCCACTTCCTATGCAACCAGTCAGACCAATAAGGTATGGTTTTAGAGGAATATGTGTCTTTGGCTGTGTGTGAGAAAAGAAATAAAAATAAATATCATCAGCTTTCTAAAATTGGTCTTACCTCAGGGCAGCATCTTACCTCAGGTTCTCTAAGTCGTTGACCAAGAAGTCTTATTCTGTAGTTACTAGAACTGACCTTTGTTTCTTCTACACTTTCATCAAGAGGCACTGTTTCTAACATATCAATTTTTAAAATGTCAAGAACACTTAGACCTTTTTGCTCTCGTAATTCATTCACCTTCTGCCCTCCTCTAAATGTTTCAGAACTCACAACAATCATCTGAAGAAAACAAAAAATTGTAAGTAATTGTTAAACTATAAGATTAGTCTAGAGAATCCAAGGGCCAGTCATTATGCAAGGTACCCAAAAAGAAGATGAAATTGAGCAATGTAATATTGTGTTTTGGTATCTCCCAATACATTAGAATCACAGAAACAATTAGAGAAGTGGGGCACAAAGGAAGAAAAATCGTGACACAATTGTAAGGGAACCACCATATTGATTCGTAACGCAGGTGGAGAACGGGGCAAGGGGACTGGAAATGCAGAAGCGGGACTCAGGAGAGAGGTAACTCCCCCCCCCTCATGTGTTGAATAAATTTGAAGGGGGGGGGGGGGAGAAGAAGAGAGAGAGAGAGAGATCAGAGATCTTACTTCAAATTTATATTATGAAAGATTGAAATTTTTCTTCAATTTGAAAAGAAATGTAATAATAATTAAGGAAACAATAATTTTATTAAAATGAGCAAATAACATACATTAACAAATTGTGAACTTTAGTTCAGTATTATAAAACGGGCATGGTAATGTTAAACGTTACTGTGTATATCTAGTATTAATAGATCATCTTTCAATTATATTTTGCTTTTAAACATTATTTACTTTGAAAATAGACAGTTTCATGCCTAGAATCAGGAGTAAAAAAACTCGAATCAACTCTCAAAACGAAAGAGTATTTCTTATTTACAATACACATATGATGCATGGTACTCAATTTCAAAATATAAAACAAATTCCAAGCAGCTACAATTAAAAATTATATTTATATACACATGTAATATTCATAAGTTATGTGTCAAAAACTTATTTACTTATTTAGCTAAAAACTGTATGCGACATATGGGGAGAAGATCATCTGTGCATGTTTTCTTGAGTTCCTGAATCCTTTCCCATCATTTTAACTATAAATAGTAGAAAGATAAGTAAAAGTTGAAGATAGATAAATAAAATTTAAAAAATCACGAGATTAGCAACATTTGAAAAATCAGCCATTTTTGTCCCTGAGTAATAGAAAACTTCTTTGCAACAGTAAACAAACTACACATTTGATTTTTCTGCATTGCTAACTAAATACTAACTAGCCCTTACCTCCACTCCTACCACTACACGCAAAACAACAAAACGTGGGCATAGTGAAGCATACTGTGAGCAATACCCCCCCCCACACACACACACACACTAAAAGATCCAAAATCCTGCCTCTGTGGACATGGGTTTGAGAGGACAAGGACATTTTAGAGGGATAGGAAAGATGGATTAAATAGAGGCAGCTATTTGTCACAGTGCTCCACTGAGACCTGAAAACTATGGGCAATACAATCAGTAGCAGAGCTTATCTAATCACCAATTGAATCGCAATGTTACTTCTGCACTAATTTCAACCTCATTGGAGCCCACTTAGTCTGTTTTTTTTTTTTTTTTTTTTTTTTAAGATGGATTCTCCTAGAGGAAATAGCATACTTCTACAATAATTTAATGCTAATGGAATTTAACATAATAAATGCTACATTCTTCTGTCAACAGAAGTAGAGGTTGTACATGATTGTTAATTATAATTTTAAACTTCATGCAAATGCAGACAGGATTTAAGACTGTTACTTATACAAAATGGAGAGAGAAAGAGATCTCTCTAGTAACTGGCCTTCAGATTTCTCAAAACAACATGTTTATGTTTTAACCATGTTAGTTTTTGTAAATTTACCTGCAAATTAGGATCTTCTTTTGTGGGGCCAAATGGGTCACTAATAGGCACAATATTATACTGAAGCTCACAATCCACATCAGCAAGGAAATCATGCACATCACTAATTCGCTTTTCACATGGTTCAATTAATTCCCATAATTTCTTTGCTAAAAAATTGAAAAACAACTTAATGTACCAAGTTTAATGCATATTTATATGCTTCTACTTCAAAGTGTAGTTTATATATTTACACTACTCACATTTCAACATGTTAAGGTCTGTTACACCCACTGTAAGTCTTTTGGAACAGTGTAATAAAGCTTCTGAAAGCAGAATTTTGTGTCCTGAATGGAGGCGATCAAATGTTCCACCAAGGACAACATTGTCATATATTTTGGAATCATCTTTTACAAGTTGGGAGAAATCCAGATAATCAACGTCATTTTCGTTCAGCACAGTTTGGCTATTATGATTTTGCTTAGAAGTTTCATTGATTGTAACTACTTCACAAGGTGTGTTTTTATTGGGAAGGTAACTTTGCATGAAATTATGCACTTCATCACAGCTATATTTCTTATCAAATATGACTACATCAATTTTCTGTTTGGTTTCAATACTCTTTTGCAATGGGTATTTGATACTTGACAACAAGATTCTGACATCCAAATTTTGACAAAGAGCCATAGTTTGTGAATAAATTCCTACAACCATTTTCCTAAAATTAGGTGGTTTGAAACTTGTGTCAGTTTTGGAAATCCAGGGAGGAATGAGATGCCGTTGTTGGGACAAATGTACATATAATGTTTTACCAACATATTTCTTTGCAATAGGTAAAACATGATTTATTGTACTAGGATTGGTCAAAATTAAAAGGCCTGTCTTTGCCATTGAAGATAAGGCACAAGTACTAAAACCAAATGTCACTATATAAAATAGAAGAATGCAAGCATGTGCAGCAAATTGCAAATAAAATGTTAAAATAACTTCATGGCTTGGCATTCACTCAATGACTTGGCAAATTTTACAAGCTCTCTTATATCACCTAACGCTCATACTTGATTAGTTCGAGCAAACGATTATTCTATCGGGCCGGCTATTCTCAATACATATCATAGTCCAAAAGATTTTTAGTTTCCAATTGGTAAACCACACAACTCATATCTTCTCAAACCTAGTGTTACAGCGGCGTTAAGTGAGCTTCACTTGACAATTTGCTGTTACATAAATTTTCTTAGCTGAACCATTTCAGCCAACTTGTTCGCTTCTTCAATGCTTTACGTCACGTCGTTCCCTCCCTTCTGCACTCGACCGCTGCTCATCGCATCTTTCTTCGTACAGTAGGATTTACTTAACCATGCACTTGACGTAAATCAGGTGTTGCGGTTTCATCCAATCGAGAGCTTCAGTCGCTACAGTGACATCACTATAGTAACGTTCAAGCTCTCAATTGGACAAACCCGTCAACAGCTGATTCAAGTGCATAGTTAAATAAATCCAAGTGTAATATAACCAACCGCACATTTTAGTCGATTATTGTATAGCTTCAACAACGGCTTCTACCAATAGGAGTGACTACTGTGCGACTATCGATTGATGTTTTATTTTCTTGTTTCGAGATTTCCAGCGCGAAAACGCAAAATGTCGCTTTTGTGGACCCAGTATCTTAATATTTAATTTGATTTTATTTATTTTCATAAATAAAAACCGACGAAACTATATGAGATGTATGTGAAAGAAGTATAATCTGCGCACGTTTTCATGAGTTCCTTTGCTCATCCTTTTATTTTACGTGATTAAATGATGAATAAAAAAGCACCCACAAAGCTGTTGCAATTTTTGAAAACGAAATTTTGGTGCGGAGAAATATATCACTTAATTGCATCGGTTCAAGAACTACTGATTTTATTTTATAGCATTGTTAACAAAATAGAAACCTTTGCTGCAGGCTCTATATCAACCACAACTAGCAATAGGAGATCTCAACAAAATGTGAGCTAGTAGTGAAGTTAAATTTATGTCCAGAATCAAAACACGGGACTATCTCAGCATTTGTACAATGGTCTGTTTTAAGTTCAGCATGAATCCTGATTTCTGTGTTTCTTCCATCTTTTACTGTAATATCTTTTCTAGTTCTTTCTTCAATTATTATGATGACATCTGCATAACAAATATTATTGATTTAGCATTATTTAATTCCAATGTTAATGTTCATTTCATCTAGTTTTCTTCTCTCATGATATATTCTGTGTATAATTTGAAAAGGCCTGGACAGAGGATACATCGTTGTCTGACCCTGTTGTGGACTGTAAACCACTCAGTGTATCCTTCTGCAATTTGAACTAGTGCTTCTTGATCTCTACAGAGCTGCATTTAATAGAGTTACTATATGACCTGATACTTCCATATTTGTTAAGGTTATCCATAACAGGCCCACACAGTCAAAAGCTTTAGATTAGTCCAAAAAACCTATGTACTGGACCTTAAGAAATTCTCTGCTTTGTTTCATTATCCATCAATGATTTACTATCTGGTCTCTGGTTCCCCTGCCCTTTGTGAACCCATGTTGTTCTATTGAAAGTTCACTTTCCATAAAAAAAAAAGTACTTGACACTCAAACTTCTTTATTGATTTTAATTGTTTAATGTCATCGGGCAATATATTGTAAAGTAACATACATATTTTTCTGAGGATTTCCTGTAATGAGCAGTTGATACTGACGCTTAATGAATATGATTCCTACAACATAAGTTGTTATTATAAATACGTGTATTGCATGAAAATGTGTTCCCGCCACAAAGTATGTCAGTTTTGACTAAGTAGATCCTACAGATTTATAAATTAAAGGGCAAGCAATGGTAAGATTACAAACTCAATAAAGAGAAACTTGAATATGATGCAATCTTAAAATATCAGTACCACGTTTCCCCAGATTATTATGCCATATTTCAGGTGGGAATGTACAGTCACAAAACACACACAACTAGTTGCATGAGGGCTGACTAAATTTGAAAGAACTTTGAATGCACTGCATAATATAATGAACTTAATTTAGTGTACAATTCATTTACATGGATCCATTTGAGATATGACTGAATTGAGAGACCCAGAAATCTTGTCACATGTGATTTTGTGTTTGAAATGCAACTCTGCATTGAAACTGTCTACCCTTCATTTATTATTCATTTGTTATTGCAAAACCAATTTGAAACATTTCAAATCATACCACTTGTTTCTTTTTTGCAAATAATATTTGTGACAACAGCAGAGGGAATGGTTCTGTTTGTAACGAACAAGGGCACATTGTTATGTTAACATATAAAGGAAAAAGTTAGATCCTAAGATTGAAGGTATTTCTTGGGCGACGAAACAGGCAATTTGAATTCTCATGAATGAAGCTCAAAGGCTTCATTTAGGCTTGAGGATCTTATATATGCAGTAAATATTGTATGGTATCGAAGAGCAAAAGCATTTACAGGCCAGCCCAAAATTTGTCTCTGCCTTAATTGGTGCACAACTTATTAAAGAATGTTTGCAGTTAGCAAATAAAGATCCCATTTATGAGGCCTTTGTGAATATATATAACAGGCATCAGATGAAAAGAAACTTACCACTTTTCTAGGAATTACAAAAACATAACATTTAGTTTATCTACTTTTAATTACAAAAGTTCATTCTAAGTACAAAGATAGAATGGTAGAAACTGTACAGTTTGTTATGTTAAAATGCAATACAAGTTTTGTTTTATACAAAGCATATGTTTCATAAATATCACTGGATATTGAAAGCTCAAAAGAAGAAAGTCAGTGTTCCAGCAAAAATGTATTAATATTAATTGTTAGAAAATTATCGTTTTTTAAACTTATTTTCTCCTTGAATTTTAATAGATTTTCAAATGAATTTTCCTGCCCAAAATAAATACATTTTATTTCTACACAAGTGTGCAATAAATATATTTTTGGAGGAACTGAAAAGAGAATAAGTATGATTGATATAATATACAGAAATGACTTTCTTTTCCTGCCTTCATTATCATTTTATGGAAATATTTCAGTCTTCATTGAATACTGAGTAATTAATGATTGAATATTCAGATTTTAACTTGTCCCCAAGTACACATTCTAAAAATAATTTCACATTTTTTAAATTTTAAATGTCATAATTGTATTACACCTTTATGGTTAATATGACATATCATTCTAAAATTGTTGCAAAGCTTACCAATTACAATATAAAGAAAACTTCCATGAATGGTCTCACATTTTAAAAAAATGCATTTGAACATTTGGAAACAAAACATCTCAATGGTTACGACTTTCAGAGCATTACTGTCCACTGCTGAATGTACAGTTATTGCATAATTTGCATAATACATTAACTGAATCAACAAGTCTTGATTATTAGCTTTTCATAAACACAAATCAATGTTTCTTCTTGCAGAGTGAATACTATACCAAAAGTTTGAAGTTAAGATTGTTATCTGCAGTAGTCTCTCTGTTTATGTCCAAAAAAGTGGTTCATTTTGATATACCTACTATCAGTTATTCCAAAACCAATTTCTGAATGAGATTCACAGATTTTCATCTTGTTTTAACATTCTGAATGAAAAATTTATGCTAGCTTTACAGAACATGCACAAACAAAGAATTAAATGCAAATTATAGTTACTAATTTTGAGGTCATTCAAACAAGATTCAATACATTTCTTAAATGAAATACAGTACTTTTATCTTTGAAGAGCTAGCGTATCTCAAAAACTTATCCAGCCAAGTGGAAAGAGTAATTTCAGTTTAACTTATTTTATTAGAATAGTGGGCAAGATTAAAGCAAGAAAATACTGAAATGTTTCTAATTACTATAAGACTTTGTCAAAAAAATGTAAGTTGGAATTTTTATTATAAAAATAATCCACTACTTTAGAGTAGATTTTTTTATACTGAGATGCATACACATTTTCAGAATTTTATGTATAAACATTTTAAGTTTTCATTCGCAAGAATTAATCCATGTTTTCTGCAGTCCTAGATTGCATTTTGTGAAGAAACGAATTTAAGAACCTTCCAGCTACAAAAAATCATGATAACATACATTTCTAATAATTATTTTCTCATATTGATTGGTTAACATTAACATTGTCGTATTTAAGATATGGATTAAATTACCCTATAAGTTATACCTCTTATATTGAGCAAGCAAGGAAAATAAATAAATAAATAACTTCAATTAAGATTTGCAGAAACATTGATTTGGGGACTTGATATAGACTATTTTACATTATCCTTCAATCAATATGCTCATTAATAGTATCTAACAGTTTTTTTTTCTCACAAATTAATGGAATGTTTGGAAATGGTTTTTATTTGCAAAACTTTTTCTGGAGACAAAAAAAAAATCATGCAGGGATGAGAAACAGATGAGAATGTTCTGAATTATTGAAGACAATTTTCAATCTTGGTACATTTATGAACACTCACATTCTTGAACATATATTTTTTTTTAAATGCATCTGGAGATTAAAAACTTAATACTGTAAATTCACAAATCTTGCAAATTGTCTTCCATCATTATATTTAAATAAAATAAAAGACTATAACGTTTGCCTTTCTACCAATTTATAGTATCTGCCCTTTAGAGCCATCAACTCTTCATGTGATCCCTGCTCAACTACACGGCCACGATGAATCACAGCTATACAATCAGCATTCTGAATTGTTGATAGACGATGAGCAATGACAATTGACGTTCGTCCTTGTCGTGCTTGATCCAAAGCTTCCTGGACTATCTGTTGTGAACAAAAATAATTGTATAATCTTTGTACAAGCAAAATTTACATATCTAAAATAACAATGGTGGTTCATCATGTACCATATGTATACCATCATTACCATAAATGTACTGTACTGTCTAAACTCTCCTCAAAATTGATACTTTGATTTAGAAAGTACACATACAAACAAAAGATAGAATAAAGAATTTTGAACTAATTTACACCCAGCAATATACAGGATACTATGTTAACAAGGTTATAATTGTTCTTAAAGGCTAATTACTTTCACAGGGGAGAGTGAAATGATTGGAAATAATCCTCCCATCAGTAGACATAGAAAATTTAAGAACTTGTGAATGAAAGATTTTGGTGAATTAAAAGAAGTAAAATAAAAACCAGAGCTGGTGAGATGCATTTTATAAATGAAAGAAATCCTTACCTTTTCACTTTGCATGTCCAAAGCTGATGTTGCCTCATCTAATAGCAAGATCTTAGGGTCTCTGATGAGTGCTCTGGCAATTGCAATTCGCTGTTTCTGCCCTCCAGATAACTGTGTTCCTCTTTCTCCCACTTTGGTATCGTATCCCTAAATTAAAAATAAATAAATTTAAAAACAACATAAGGTGGAACAGGCACAGATCCACAGGGCGGGAAATGAGGGAAATTTCCTCTTCCAAAATTTTTCAGTAACTATTAATTTTAACTTGAAATGAAACTTTCAAGCAAAAATATTCTTTGTATAAACATTAAAACAAATAAAATTGTATCACAACATGAGCTAAGTTGAGTCGGAGCCAATCTTCATAATCTGTACATAATAAAAGAAAAGTTCCCTTCCAAAATTTGTCACTGGATCCCCCCTGGTTAGAAGCATTTGGAAAAATGAGATTTAATTTTCACATCACAAATTAGAATAACTAACAAAAGCCTTTGGAAACTCAGTGCTTTTTTCTATGTAATAAATAAACAGATTTTTAAGTTCTAAAATGTCTTATAATAGGTTATAGCAAAGGTCTGATTGAAGTTTCAAGTCTAAAAATTAAATTATTTCATCCCACTTTTAATATTTTAATTGCATAATAAATTTATAAAATAATACAAAGAATCAACATGATCTCTAGTTACTTGGTCTCTATATATCATTTAATTACAATTAAGATCTACTTACACTGGGCAAATTTGAAATGAAGTCATGTATATTGGCTTTTCGAGCTGCTTGAATAATTTGTGGCATTAATTTATCTGAATCAGAACCTGATGGATCATCCGAAATCACACCATACGCAATATTTTCCCATATAGAACAATCAAAGAGTGTTGGTTCTTGTGTTACTAAGCCAATATGTTTTCTTAAATACGGTAAGTTCAAAGTCTTGATGTCAAAACCATCAACTTGCTGAAAAGAAACAAGTTTCAAAATTAAAAATTTCATTGATTTTCATAAAACAGATTTAAGAGCAATCATTTTAATGTAATTTTATACAAAATATTAAGATAGGTGAAATAAAAATAAAAGTGTGGTTGGAAAAAATTTTTTCCAACAAAGTAGAATCATGACAGAAATATAAGCGCACCCATTATTATTATTTAAATTACTGCCTTTATTTAAGTTAAATTTGTTTTCTTACCACAATTCCACTTGTAGGATCATAAAACCTTTCCAGTAAAGACACCACTGTACTTTTCCCACAACCTGAGGATCCCACTAAAGCTAGTGTTTTTCCAGTTTCCACAGATAAATTTAAACCACGTAACACAGATACGTTAGGTCTGTTTGGATATTGGAAATGGACATTTCGAAATAGCACCTTCCCTAATATTTTCTAGGAATAATAAATGCATAATTAATTACATTTCAAGTAAGAGCATATACTATATAGAAATCACAAGACCATATTAATCAGAATTTAATTATAAAAAATAATTTAATAAAAATAACTAACAATTTAATCAAAACCTTCAATTTATTCACATAGTATTACATGAAACACTGAAATCAGAGGACATTACAATATTTTTTAACACCACCTTATAATAATCTGCAGAAACATTCACTCTTGCAGATGTCATGCCAAACCACACTGACTTGCACACTACGGGTCAAATCCAAATCAACTTACTGGTTTTATGCCCATTATAGGGTTAATGCTTATATCAGTCTTTCTGTCCATTAATTGGAACATCAAAGCAGCTGCCATTTTAGCTTTTGTGTAGTCTTGAAGGTATGCTGAAGTTTGCCCAATTGAGGCAGCACAAAATGCCAAAGCAAAAAACACTCTGGAAGAAAACAAGAAGTTAGTAGGTTAAATTGCATGAAAAATAAATAGAAATTTTTCACTTTACATTCACTTCCTAAAATATAGTTATATTTCTTACTTACCTATACACATTTGTTGGCTCCATGTCACCAATTTCAATTAAATATGAACCAAATCTGAATGCTGCTGCATACATCATATATATCACAGTCTGAGAAAACCCAAATATTATAGAATATACTAAAGCTTGTTTTCTTGCTTCCCTGTAACAATGTTACAGAAGTTAATTCTTAATCATGTGAACTTGAATTATTCTCAGGACATTTTCCCAATTTAATACATAAAAACAATGTTTGTTTCTTTCTTGGTTGGTTGGTTCATACTTAATGCACTCCCGTACCATTCATATGATTGCAATAAAACTTTGTCAACTTATTGCTTGCATTTGTGGGAAGAATTAGGCATAGTACAATGGAAATGTGCATAAGACTGCACACATAGACGTGCGTTGATAATTAAATTATGCAGACTCAACCACCCCTTAACAGAGTATTCAACGCAAAGACGCTCTTACGCAACCCGCCGCACCCTTAAGTACGAGTATTAAGAACATCATCTTTGCATATTCTGCCCAGGGATTATGAAATTATGCCCAGGAGAGACATACAGAGAGAGACAGGGGCAGAGGCAGACACAGACGCTGAGAGAGATACAGAGAGACAGAGAAAGAAAGAGAGAGAGAGATAGAGATAGAGATAGAGAAAGGGGCAGAGAAAAGTGGAGAGGTGAGGAAGGAAAAGAGAGGGAAGGAGAAAAAGAGAGATGGAGGGCAGGGCAACATCTGCTAGTTTCTGCTAGTATATGTGTAAAAACATGAACAGGGTATTGTTGAATATATTGTACTAAATTTAAAATTTAGAACTTTTTAAACTTACTTGTAAGGCTCTATTAATTTTTCCATATATAAATCAACAAAGAGTGCTTCCTTTCCAAGAGCTTGAACTGTTCTTATATTTTGAATACTTTCAGATGCAACCTAAAAATAAGTCATTTACATTAGCATCAAATATGATATTGTTGAAATATTAGCTTACGTGCACAATGTTGTTTGATATCAACTACTCAAGAATACCATTACCAGTGACGTGAAGCAGCAACAACTGTTCATTTATTAGGGGTGGTGGGGAATTCTTGATGCTCTGCATCTCTATTCTGGCTTTGGCCAAACATTTGCAATATGAATCTTCACATTACACAGTTTAATTATTTCATTTGAAATATGAACATTACATCAGACTATCAAAATTGAATTACAGTGTACAATTACTAGTAACAGAGGCAACCTACAATTTAACTTGTTTATATTGGATGCTATACAAACTGTTATTTAGATTTAAGAATTTCTTGCAAGATCAGTAACATATATGATTACATCTAACACTGAGAAGAGCCGCATCAACTGGAGAATTAGGCTGCACTCTTTAATAGAGTATTTAGTGTTGAATGTAGAAAATATGAAACAGTGTTATTAATCATTGAAATGAACAATGAATTGAAGAAATTGCTTGCATGTGTGTGTTACATTTTCAGTCATAATAGTATTTCATAAAATTCCCCCCCCCCCCTCCAAGATATTGATTTTTAATGGTTCTTTCAAAATATTAGCCCGTTATATCTTTCATGCTTTCTATGCATCTCTGCATCCACCAATGAAATACTGATAATGAATTGTTAATGAAATTAAAAAGGGCTAACCTAATTTATTATTATAACCTAATTAGTAATCTAACCTAATAAGTAATTATTTTATAGCAATTAAAATTCAGGGTACTGCAGATGCTGAAGAAAAAACAAGTTCCTTCACTTTCAAAGAAACTGTCACAAAAAATGTGCTACAAGTAACAGTTTTCAACATGAGTGAATAAAAGATTGATATTGTACACTGATTTTATTAAATAAATTGCCTTAATGTTAGAGTACCTTTCCAGCCTCTTCCAACAATTCTGCATCTCTTCTTTGTGTTCGACGTAAAATCATCATCTGTTGATATGCTGCTCCTGCAAGGATTGGTACTGCTACTAGTAACAATAAAGCTAATTTCCATCCATGACAAAAAGCAATTGCAAGAGCTGCAGCCAGAGTGACCAATGCGCCCAGCATCTGACCTGCACGAAGTCCAGAAGCCTGAAAGAAAGTTAATTTTTTTTTAATTTTCCAATTAAGCAATTAAGAAAAAAAATCTGGAGTTCTACTACTCTTAAGTTATTACAACAAGTATGTCCAGGTGGCAGCTATTATTACTCAACCAAATTCCACCTTTGAACTCTGAAATGCGAATTGGCTTCAATGTTGGGAGTTGGCTTTGGGCAAAACGAGGGGTAGGGTAGGGGGGAGGGGGAGGGGAAAAGTAGGCGAAAAATCAGCATGCGGGACCCCAAAACATCTATTTTCATAAAAATCTCAAAATTGATTTTTGGCACCATTACATAATTTTCTTTATGTAGAAATATTACATAATTTTCTTTATACTATGTCTGTATTCCTCCAAATATATACTTCTCATATTTCCAGATGAAAAATATTGCAATTCTTTTAAATTTTATTATGAGTGAAATGTTTGAAAGTAGTATTTGTTCTTTAGGGTAAGTACTGCTTATTTTACCATCTCCAAGTAGGTACTACTACTATTAAGAAGAGTTTTAGCAATGGGAAAAACAAATCAAAAAGGAAAATTAATCAAACAATGAAATATGCAATTCAATTAATCTTAAAGTATTTAATTATTCTATGTAACCTTAAAATATGGAATTTTATGCAGCATACCTCAAATGTGCAAAAATAAATGAATAAAACTTTCAGTTAAAGATTTGGAAACTCCAATTTGGTTAGAAAACAGAATTCCCAAATGCCTCCAACTAAACAGAAGGAATATGCATTTGCATAAAAATCTGATGTCTACACAGTTGTTGATGAATAAAACCCACACCCAAAGAAAAATAAAAGAAACATAAAATGAAATATCTACACAAGTGAATATTTTTGAAAGAGAATTTTTAGATTTAAGTCAGTACATAAATATTGAAACACACTTGTAAATGAAAGACATAAAAATTTTTACATTTACTTAAATCATTAATTAACTATGTTCAACATTTGATTCACATTGAACAGCAGTAAAAAGTTGTTAAAAGTTTTGAGAAATGAAAAGAACAAAATTGCATATATTCCTGATAATTACTCAAATAAGATTATTATCAGGTTTTACAACTACTTACAGATTTAATTAGGGGCGCATCACGAGCAAGTCTAGTAATAAGTCGTCCAGGAGCACTAGTTTCCATATCAAACCAACCCACAGCTTGAGTTAAAATATTTTGAAATGCTTTTAATCGCAATCTCATTACAAGTTTTTCAGCTGCACATGTCATGAATGTGCACTGCAACCAAAAACTGAAGCCAGATGCAACTGCAAGCACACAGAACATGCCTGACCAAAATCGGGCTGCTTCATACAATTCCTCACCTGTTAAGGTAAAAGTCTGAAAGAAAAATAAGAAACAAAATATTAAATGCTTAGTTTTGAGAGAGAAAAAAAAAGTATTTCAATACATACTTGAACAGTTCGATGGAAGAAACGAATGATTCAGAAAATTCAGTTTTGAGATAATCAAGACAAACTGTATACAAGCTTTTTTCTCACATAATATAAATGTGTATGTACATATCACATGAAAAATCACACTAGTAACTGATTAAGGACACAAAACCCACTAAAATGCGCTAATATGTGAGTTTACATTACATTTAAAAATTTCAATTGTGCCTTTATTCTATAGAACAAGCTAATTTTGAAATAAATCTTTCCTTCTTTGAAAGTCTACATGAATTAATTTCAGAAATTTAGAATAATTTGCATTTTCTTCCAGATTAATTAAGATTCTTTAGTTCTTGTTTTCTGATTTTTGTAAAAGTTTTCCTTTTTTGTCATTAATTTTTATCTTTAACATTATGTAAATAAGCATCTGAAAAAGGATATGTATCATCTGGGGTTTTCAACTCACTATCATCCATTGAAAATTCAGATATATCGAACAAATTCACATCTGAATTCACAGCCATTTTGTCAATGTCCTAAATATCAGGAAATAAAATGATGCAAAATCGTTGAGATAACAATGTTACAGAAAAAGAGTGCAATTTAGAATTTCAAAAGTCTCTCAAATGCCATCTATGGGGCAGAACAATCTGTATAGATGATAGAAAGTCATCTAAAGAATTGCAGTTGTAAATACATGTTATATGCTCAGTATTTTTGAACATGGAAAGAAAACATCAGTTTAACAAGGTATTAACAGACAATAGGAAGAATTATTAAACAACTTTATTTCTAAGTGACTCTCACAAAGGCTTTTTACTCACACCCTGAACAAATTAAGTATTAATTACTTGATTTATCTCTTGCAGCCAATCTAACAATTGCAAAGAAAAAAGTAAAAATTATAGTTTTAAAATTCAAAACCACTTCATTCATGCTGCATAAAATGTAAGATTAAAACATTGATTAGAAATTTGGTATGAATCTAGCACAAAAAATATATTCAGAGAATAAATATTTTAAAATTTACAGAGATAATTAATGTTGATATAAGAAATCAAAATTGACAATACATTTTATTCACCCTCATCTTTGTATTGGAAAAATATAAATTATTTTTTTCCCCTTATTTATGTTAAAGAAAGTAATACTTACTGCAAATACTTCTCCATAAAAATAGGCAAACACTGGCATGACTGCACCAGTAGCCATGCAGCCAATGCAGCCCAAAAGCAGTGGAACCCATTCTGGAGAATTTAATTTGAAAAGGCGGGCCATGTTTGCATCATCTGGAGAAACCTTTAAAAAAGGCATGATTAAATTGTCATTACTTTTGATGGCACTAATCTTAGAAAAAAGATAATTATTTCAATGAAGGATGATGTAAAAAACAAAATTTAAGCAGCCATTTGAGAAGAAATGAGCTAATACTGAGTTTCACTAATTGTTAAACATTTTATATTAAAATTACAATGAAGGTACGTACTAATTTGAAAGTGTATTTCTATTAGACATGGCCTATTCTACAGTTCAGGCCAACTTTTTTTATCAAGACTTTTCCCCTTCTATACCTTTAATCTGCTTTTATTTGCTAATTTTCACTGTTATTAACCCTGTAGTACTCGTTATATTTTGTAATACAAATGATACCATGAACTACATATGTAGACCAAGTTAAAATTACAATTTTTTTACCGTTGCATATGAGTTTTGTAAAAACTTTCTGAACACTTACCGATTATCTTAAAATGTTTATTTGAATATAAAGTGAAAGTCATTAAACATAAACTTAAGTTTTATGGCATTTAAATCTACCTACCTATGTTGTCTCCCAGATGAAAATTGGGATAAGTGATATATATAAAAATATTAAATATTTTATTTTGTCATTTATTTATGGAACAAGTTGGTTATCAATCATGACAATTGTATTTCACTATATTATATGACTTTGACAATAGAATATTGTTCTCTGGATTGCCTGGCAAACTTCCTATTGTGGCGCTTGCACGGGCTATAATTGAAACACAAGCAACTTTTAAACTGATTTTGTTGATATGCAACCTCTACTACATAGCTGGGTTTAGGGTTACACATGTGGCCTGTGTGAGTACTTCAGAGTATTTTGAAAATTGCCCGAGTAAAGAATGATGGAACCAAACAACTATGTACTAGATAATTAATTTTACAGAAAACACTTTTCAAACAACTTTCCCCAGTAGAAGATAACAAACCGAATTATGAACATCAGGTTATAACCTCTTAACTCACAGGTTCCAACTCCATTTGTTTTCTTAGGTCTTCACCACCAGAAGAGAAAGCAACACTTGAAACTGATGAATGTCTGTGCTCACTACTTTTATCCATGAAGCTATCAGGACTGAAGAAAGAAAAAAAAAAAAAAAAAAAAAAAAAAAAAAAAAAAAAAAAAAAAAAAAAAAAAAAAAAAAAAAATTCAAAGTTGATTATTTTTTTAACTGTAATACAATAATTGGTATGTTCAATGAATACTTACTCTGATTTATTATCTCTAACTATTCCATCTTCATCAGCATCATGAAAGGACTGTGCTTGAACAAGGCTATAGTATAGACCTTTCATCATTAATAATTCCATGTGAGTACCATGCTCCACTACAGATCCATCCTGAGTTTAAAATATTTATCAATGAAAAAATAAAATAGTTTACTTTGATTTAAATACTGAATATTGCATTGGATCAAAATAGCAAAAGATGTAAGAAAAAGATGCAAGATATTTTTTCATTCATAAGAAATAACTAATCCTTTAGCACTAATTATTATTGCTTATAATTATAGTTTTTAATACAATCACACTGCTATGGTTTAAACTTTCTTGATAGCATCCTGTCAAAAGCTTACTTGTGGCATTGATGAAAGATACATAACTATATTACCATAACTTTGTATTTAACATTTTTTATTTCCTTTCATGTAATAAAACTGAAATGAAGAAAATTGACTGACACTGGTTTAGAAAGAGACCATTATCAGTTATTATTAATTCAGTAACAATAATCAATAATAAAGTTCTAACATTAACTTTCAATTATTAAAGAAAATTTTTTCAATAGATCATTGTTAATGCTCTTAAGAAATGAATTTCTTTTTGAAAACATTCTTCTCTCTTTTCTTCCTCATTTCCTTTGTCCCATCTTGTATCCTATACACTTCAAGAAACATGAGAGGTTTTAATAGAAGTAATATATTTCAAATTTTAATAAAATATAAATAATTAAACACTTTGTCACTAGCCACCTTTGTGTTTCACAACTAAATGCTTTAATTAATCAAAAAGAAAAACTAATTATAAAATGGGGAAATTATGTCAACATGAAAATACACTTCTGTTGCATCATCTAATTGCATATTAATCAAATTTCAATCTGTACAGTTTCCAACACTGTACAGATACAATTTATGTGTAAACTCTTTCCAACTTGCAACAAAATTAGACTAGAAGTTGTAAATTATCCCATGAAATTTTCTCAAACACACATTTAAAGAATTACCAACTTAATAATAGTTTTAGTATTTGGGATATTTACCTTAAGGGCATAAATGACATTTGCATTGCGAATAGTGGACAGTCGATGTGCAATAACTATTGTTGTCCGGCCTTCCATTGCCTGATCTAGTGCAGATTGCACGACTCCTTCACTTTGTGCATCTAGTGCAGATGTTGCTTCATCCAGCAACAGAATTTTTGGATTTCTCACTAATGCCCTTGCAATAGCTATTCTTTGTTTTTGACCTCCTGATAGTTGAGCTCCACAGGTTCCAACCATTGTATCATATCCCTATTTCAAAAATTTGGTAAAATTATAAATATTGCATACACATGTGCAACTAACATTACAACATTTTTTGAACAATTTCATTAAAAAGAAACTCAAGGATTATCTAAGAAATGTTTTCATTCATAAGAAATAACTAATCCTTTAGCACTAATTATTATTGCTTATAATTATAGTTTTTAATACAATCACACTGTTATTGTTTAAACTTTCTTGATAGCATCCCGTCGAAAGCTTACTTGTGGCATTGAAGATATGAAGTCGTGAGCATTAGAAAGTTTTGCTGCTGCCACCACATCAGTGAATGACACATCGTCATGACCATATTTGATGTTATCAAGAATAGAAACTCCAAACAATACAGGTTCTTGAGAAACAACTCCAATCTGCTTCCGTAACCATTCGAGGTTCAGAGTGTGTAAATCTACACCATCCAGTAAAATCTGAACAATACAAGTCTTTATTTAGAAACAATCTTTTGGAATCATTAAAATTCTTCCCTCAGATAAATTATTTACCTTCCCTTGAGTTAAGTTATAGAAACGAAGAAGTAATCCTACAACAGTACTCTTTCCTGCTCCACTGGATCCTACTAAAGCAATTGTTTGACCAGGTTTTATATCCACATTGAAATCTTTCAGAACCTTAAAAAAATCAAAACATTAGATAAGCACAAGAGAATTGTAGTAAAATACCAGTTGAAATTTGTCTGAGTTTAGAGAATCAAATACCTTAATTTCAGGCCGTGTAGGATATTGGAAGGTAACATTTTGAAAAATAATATGGCCTTGAACTTTCTGTGGTTTTTTACCTTTCTTGTCATAAGGATCTATTTCAGGTACACGATCTATTACAGCAAATACTGTACTAGCTGCACCTAATGCTGTGCTCACTGCATTAACAAACGGAAGGGCATTCCCTAAAGAGAATGCCCCAGCCATGACACTGAAAAACACCTGAAACAGTACAAGTAATCTGAACATTAAACAATAAACGAATAAATATAACTTATTATATTTTTCAATATCCACATACTGTACTACAGGTAGCTAGGTAGGTATAAAGACTTATTATGTATTTATACTGCACATTATTTTAATAATGTTTGGTTTTGTGCAATTCTACCAAAACATTTTCATGGTGTTCAAGATTTCATATATTTGGGGATCATCACTTCAAAAAATTCCTACACTGGAGTTGCTATCCATCTATTTCATTTTATCATGATATATTATTATCCTTCATACAGTATCAAACATTTATTACACTACATATGCATAGAATTAATTCTTGCCTTTGCATTTAACTTACTGTGAAAACACTTCCTGGTGTTGCTTCACCAGTTCCAATCATTTGCGATCCATACCAAAATGCAAGGCCATATGCTCCGTATGTCACAAAAAACACTAAGCCAATACCTACAGCAAGAATGTAATATTTTTTCATGGCTAATTTGCGTCCTTCATCTAGACCATTTTCATATCTGTAAATATATAAAAATTATAATAAATCTACTTCAATTTAGAGTTAAAGCGAGGTTTTAAAGAACACTCACAACATTACAGCTTTAAGTTGACCTCCAAATGCAGCTACTGTACGAATGTTACTAAGAACCTCTTCGGCAATGCCCCCTGCAAGTGAGTATTTAAGCTGTTCACGAGCTGCTGATGATGCAGACACCTATAACATTGAAAAAATGATTTTAATGCATTACACTTTTCTTGAGGGGCGTTTCCCAAAAACTTAACAAAAGTATTTCATAATAAACATTCATAAGAATTAGAGGAAATTTATTAAAACAATCTCTAATGTTTTTAAACACATCATGTCATTCTAAAGCTTATATTACCAACCCTTTCATTTTAATGAATATAACAAAAGAGGAGAAAACAAATTAGATCTCAATTTCTTTAATAAAATGTAACAGATGCAATCTAGAAGAATTGAAATAAATTAAAATATTTACCTTTGCCATGTAGCCAGATGTACCAATTAGAAGGGGACTAACACCTAATATGACAAGAGTTAATTGCCAGTTAGCATAGAGGCCAACCCCAAGACCAGAAAAGAAAGTAGCAGTGTATTGTAACACCATGCTGAATTTGCAGCCAATTCCTTCACGAATACGTTCCAAATCACTAAACAAATGAAGATTTATCTTGTTACACAAACTGAATTTAAGCAAATGTTTTATTTTCTCATTTGCTAATCTTTAATTACATACTCAGAAAGTTTTGTGGTCAGATCTCCACTTTGATTTTGATCATACCAACTAATATCCTGGCGAAGCATTTGAGAAAAAAACATTTGACGCATTCGATACACCTGTCTTTCACAGGCCATTTCCCAGCATAAGGTCTGCAACCATTAAATACATATATATAGAGAGAGATGCATGGCCAATCCAATGGAAAAAAATTTAAAAAAATTTAAAATAAAAAATTTTAAATTTTAAATAAAAAATTAATTTATAATTCTGTGTAATTTTTTTAATTTATGAATAACAGGAGGATAAATCCACTTTTTAATAAATATACATAACAGTATGAAAATCATACAAATTAATGTCTTAACTCTATTCATAAAAATTCTAAAACCAAGTTAATAAATACAATATTAAAAGAAGTTATATCTACCTGAATGAAAGCAGCAACAAGTACTCCAATGCCAATATACAAATAATAAATTGAAAACTGAGACATTGTTTGTTTCAAGTCATCAAATTCTTCAAGCCTGTTGAGTTTTTAATGAAACATAAAATACAAGGAGTATAATAATGAAAAAATTTGAATTATTGTCTTCAAAGTACATTATACACTGTATTGGAACAATTTTTCTATTTGGTGAAAAGAAATTTTAAAAAAATAAATTATTAAGTGAAAGTATATAATACATTACAAATTTTAAAGAAATAAACATCATAAAATATATTTCAACAATAAAAAAAATTCACCATTACTATTCAATGAGCAAAAGAGAAATTCTTAGAATAAATACACAAAAAAATTTACTTGTCAGGATCTGTTTCATTCTTCGCCCAGGGTGATGCTATCTCTTCAGTTAAAATAATCTTGTCCTGTAAGCAAATTTTTACATCCACAATAATAAAAGTACCAAATAAGAAAATCACCACAAGTATGAGAAAAAAAGACATTACCGCTTTGAATTGTTGAATAAATGTATTTGTCATTTGACCAAATATAAGAGCTAGTGCTGGCAAACTAGCTCCATGAGCAGTAGCAAAAACCAGTCCAATAGTTAAAATTACTATATCACCACAACTTGCATAACGAAACTGAAATAATTCACTTCATTATAACAATGAGAACTCAATAAAATAAAATAAAGATAAAATGAAATAAAATTATTTAAAAGTAAAAAAGTTGTTATTATCAGAAAAAAAATGGTATAAAGGTAAAAAAAAAGGGAAACATGAAAATGAAACTTGCCAAAAATTTGCATATTAGCGAATAAATAGTAATTAGAAGAAAAAAAAAAAAAAAAGAAAAGAAAAGAAGAAGAATGAGTTCAAGAGAGGATAAGAGTTGTAGAGTTAGAGCAGATGAGAGAGTTGTTGAATGCGAGAGAAAGCCAAAGACAGAAATCTGTCAAGGAAGAGAAAGGGGGAAAATGGAGCAGTTTGAAAGAGGTCCTCTGAGAAAAAGACACTATAAGTGGGAAAAGAAAATAGAGAAAGGAGAATAAAAAGAAGAACAAGGGCAAAGAAAACCAAAATGAAATTTAAATTATGATTTGAAATTAGGAGACAGAGGAAAGTTAAAGTATATTAATTTGTTACTTTACAAAAAAAAATTAAACATCTTGAATTTGTAAGCAATTCACAACTAAGTGTATGATGAATTTTGTACTTATTCACTCTTAAAGAAATGATAAAATTATAAGTAAGAAAAAAATACAAATAATGTATATGTATTGTATATGACTGTAAGTCAGTATGGGAAAATTATGTATTAATGAAGTATTCAATGTGAAAATATTTGAAGAATATTCTCCCAAGCAAAGTTCCTTTACCAGTTTCTCTAAATTGGTACATCAATAGCACAATTCTCTTACCAATCCAATCAGGCCAGATTTTCCTTGAGTAGGATCAAATTCTTCTTTACTTTTCTTTTTCTTTTCACCCTTTGTTGATCTGAAACATTTTTTGGGGGGGTTAAACATGAGTATTTTGAAGAAAACCTGATGGACACTTAATATTCACACTTGAAGCATTGAGAACAATACTTCTGTAAGTAGTATCCTTCAGTGGATACCAAAATGCAAATGTAAATCTATAAGAAAATGAATTTCTTCCAACAAATTAAGAGTTTGAAAATGGTAGTAACTAGTGGCCTGCAGCAGAAATGTTGAACAAGGTCACACAAAATAGTTTTCCAAAAGCAGCACATGAACAAAAAATATTATC